TGCAGGAGAACGAGAAGTCGCCCAGCCAGAACCGGAAGGCCAAAGATGCCACCTCCGACAACGGCAAAGGTGAGGAGCGGGGGCCCGCCCTGCTCCCGCAGGGGCCCGCCCTGCTCCCGCCCACCCCCTCGGCGGGCTCCCCGCCCTGTGCCCAGGACTCACTGCTCTGCCCACAGACGGCCTGGCCTACTCAGCACTGCTGAAGAATGAGCTGCTAGGCGCCGGCATCGAGAAGGTGCAGGACCCGCAGACCGAGGACCGGAGGCTGCAGCCCTCCACGCCCGAGAAGAAGGGCCTGTTCACGGTGAGCCCCGCCGCCCGGCCCAGGCACACGCCCTTCCGGGCCACCCCAGCCGCCAGGCCTGGGCAGGCTCCCCGAGGCCTGGCAGGGCCCTGGGGAGAGGGCAGAGGGCCGGCCTGTGCTCGCCTTGGGAGGACGGTCACTGCGGGAGGGTGCAGGCACCAGGCCGCCATGCCGCCTCCTGTTCAGAACCCGTCGCGGCCTCAGGGCCACCCTGGCACCCGGTCCCCTGCCCGTGGGGTGCGGTGTGAGTGTGCCGTCCCACTCTCGGCGTGTCCCCGCAGTACTCCCTCAGCACCAAGCGTGCGAGCCCGGACGACGGCAACGACGTGTCCCCGTACTCCTTGTCCCCTGTCAGCAACAAAAGGCGAGTCCCTGCTCCCTGGGGCAGGTGGGCGGGCGGGCACAGGGCCCCGGGGCAGGGCGGCCTGGAGCGATGGGACCGGGGCCCAGCTGGGGTGGCCCTGAGGACCTCACTGCAACAAGCCGTAGCCAAGCCACGTTGGTTTCAGACCAGGGCCGGGCGATGGGGCATCGGGGGGTTCCCCAGAGGAGGAGGGCAGAGGGGCGAGCGTCACCCTGCGAGCCCAGAGCACCTGGCGCACATCTGAGGGCAAGGGCGTCAGGGCCACTTGCCAGCCCCCCTGGGCTCACAGGCCACAGGGCTCCGGGGACAGCGGGGGGTGCTTTGGGTGAGCCCTCCTCCCCTCCCCGCAGCCAGAAGTTGCTGCGGTCACCGCGGAAACCCACGCGCAAGATCTCTAAGATCCCCTTCAAGGTGCTGGACGCGCCCGAGCTGCAGGACGACTTCTACCTGAACCTGGTCGACTGGTCGTCCCTCAACGTGCTCAGCGTGGGGCTGGGCACCTGCGTGTACCTGTGGAGCGCCTGCACCAGCCAGGTGTGCCCGGGGACGGGGGTCCCTCAGGGAGCAGGCGGGGACCCTCGGGGAGCAGGAAGGGACCCTTGGGGAGCAGGCGGCGACCCTCGGGGAGCAGGCGGGGACCCTC